GCAGAAAACCGGAGCATGATTTTTTTTTTGCCAATAATTTTTTCATTATTTGCCACGTACGCTTTGTGTCGTTTTTAAATCTATTAAATAATTGGGAGTAGTAATTTTCCTTTAAGTTTTTGCGAATTTTTTCAAATAGGTTTTTGTAGTTCTTACAGATTTTTTCCCTTGAAGCTGTTTTTAAAAAATTTATGTATAACTTTTGTTTTATTCTGGATGATTTTTTTAAACTTTTAGTAATCCAGGGTGTATTGATATTCTTAGTTGTTATTGTTTTTTCTACTATTGGGAAATTAACTTCATAAACAGAAAAAAATGTTTTGAAAAAAGTTTCATAAATATTATTTACCGCTCTTTATGTGATCAACTTAGATACTTATTACTTTTAATAATTTTTAATAAAAATACTCATTCCATGCTTTTTTTAATAGGGAAAAAGTTCAATCTACACAATGATTTAGAATTATTTTAGAATTTATAATTAAATCATGAGAAATTAGAATGAAATCATGAGAATTCTAAACACCTAAACTTGAATAATAAAAAAGCTGATCTAGATGACATGAAATAGAGGTATGGCAATACCCTAGAGTATTTGCCGTGTAGCGTGGTTTGCTATTAATTGCTCTCATATGCGTCAATAATCAATAGATTGCTCTCATATGCGTTAATAATCAATTGATTGCTCTCATCTGGGTCCAAATGCGTTTATAAATTAGTGGTAGAGTGTTTTTTCCAGTAAAAAGATTAGAAATTGTTTGTTGTGGAGAATTTTTCTAACAACTGACTTTATTTGGTACTCTGATGTCATGTTGAAATAGGGAGATGCTAGAGACATCAGTTCACACATTGACTCACTAAATAGGAAGAACATGCAAGGATATTATAGCTTTGCTTAAAGTTCTGAAGATTGAGTTGAGTAGCACTTTTCTGGAGAATTAAAACTGGGGGTTTATTATATATTGCTTTAGTAAGTATGTTTGGCAAAGTCTATCTTAGCATTTTAAATTTTTTCACGGGTACCACTCATTATTATGACTCCTTGAAGATTCGTATAAAACATTGAAGCTTTTTTACAGGCAATAATAATATTGTTTTAAAACATTCTCTTTAACTTCGTTGGACATTTATATTTGTAACAAATTTGTATATATAATAACTACTATAAAAACTACCTATTAAAGTCTATTATTTATAACTACCTATTAAAGACTATTATTTATAACCACCTATTACAAGGCTTATATTATTAAAGATAACGACATTCTGTGTAACTCAACATTATCAACTCTTAAAAAAAACTTCCAAATAATCGAGAAGAACTTAGAAATTACCAGAAAACTACTTTAAAAATATATAATATACAACATTATTTAGGAAATGTAATTACAAAAAATAGCTTCTTCATGCCAAACCTCTACTATCATAATAAAAATGAAAATGATTACAAGTCTATTAGAGATAAACATTTGCTTGAAATGCTCAAACATGTGGAGGGAATTAATATGCTTTATTTATGGCAGATATCCAAGTATAAAGTATATATGGAGAAAAAAGCATACATATTAATCAAAATTAAGAATAAATATTTAAAACTTGTTAAAATAAATAATGATTTAAAATACATGCACTAGATTTTTCAACTGTTATCAACGATGTCAAAGTAAATTTCAACTAAGTTGTCTAAAATCTAGAAAAAACATTTATTTTATTAAATTTTCAAGTACATGTGCCATCCATTTTAATTTCATTTTCCATTTTAGTATTTACTCTATACTTAAATAGCTGCAACCATAAATAAAGTACATCCAATTATCTCCGCACCAATTGCTTGTGTCGCATTCTAACATTTGTGAAATTAAAATGCTGGAACACTTTCAACATTTTAGCTTCACAAATATCCGTTTAAATTTTTATTGTTTTAATAGTTATTACTTTAATCACCTATTGTTTTTAAACCTGTTACCCAACTTAAAGCATAAGTTACCTCTATTCTGACGTATAAGGCATTATATACAAAATAAATAAAAAAGTATATGCAAATGTAATTTTTGTGTTATACAATCTTCTTCTTATTTAGTACTAAAATAAAATATCTATCTGTTTAACCGATCATTTCCTATAAAAAGTTTTCGGACAAATATTGAAATAAAAAAAGTTTATATTTAATACTCATAATTACACGGGTGTTGTAGTATATGCTGATAACATTATACTTCTTAGCACCACACTCTCTTAGCTCCACTCTCTCTGGCTTTCTAAAGCTTATTGAAACCTGTAATATATACACAAAAAAATTGCATAAAACTGAATGCTGAAAAAAATGAGTTTTTTCTTACAGCAAAAAATCAAATAAAAAACTGTGCAATAAAAACCAACAAATAAAACTACATCGTAAACTTTGTCATTTAAGCATTACATGGGATACATCGCCTTTTTAAGTATTTCATGGGATACTTCGCCTTTTGCTTCATTTAACCGTTTAAGCATTGATCAGAAGATGCCAAATTTTAGGACATTAATACAAAAACTTATTCAATCTGGAAATCGTTTTTGAAGTATCAATGGAAAAGTTTGATATAGTTAGAAGTCACTCCTAAACGTTTTAAAACATAATCAAAATTTATTCTTATTCTAATATTCTATCCAGGATCAACAATCATACAGCAAAATATACTAAACTTTTTAATTTCCTGTTGAAAAATAACATTTTTTATTTATATTTCAAGCAATGGTCATGAATTATTTAAAAACTTTGGCATATAAAATTCGCCGAATGGTCACACACGAGCAGTGAACACCCGAGGGAAGAAATGAAGTACATTAGAATAAAGAAGAACTATTTATCGAACGAAGCATATTTTGACAGTTGTCAAGACAAAAATAAAGATTAATAGAGGAAAATTTCAAAATAAGTAAGACAGACAACACATCCAAGCAGTACTCACAATAACAATAACAAAAAATTGTATCATATAAAAAACTAGTACGTACGAAGATATAACCAAAATAAAAACTTTTTTTTAAAGCAAAAAATTAATAAACAAAAAACTTAAAAATAAAAAACAAAAAAACAAAAAAAAATTTAAAAAACAAACAAAAAATATGGATAGCAATGTAAGGCCTTAGAATGGAAAAAGAACATTAATATTAATGTTCTTTTTATTTTATTACATTTATTTTTTTTTATTTATTTTATTTATTTATTTTATTTTATTACATTTATTATTTTATATTATTTTATTATTATTTTATTACACATTAGCATTATAATGCTAATGTGTAAACATAATTATGTAGTGATAAAGTAATAAACATCTCCTCAGAGTCGCGTCTATTATTACAGGCGTTTCGATGAGGATCAGCACTTATAACTAGTTTATCCCGTCAGACAAACGTCATCGCCACTTGTGCTTTACCCCGCGACTTACGCCTTATCCATACTGCAGTAAAAAAGGACTCACTACAAATAGCCAAAACCCCACCAACCCAAAATTTGTAAAACACTAATGTTTTTTTAAAAATATGATATGAAAAGTGTAGATAAACTGTAAAAAATAAATAAAAATACCTAAATAAATCACTTACCATACCACCGAAAGAAAACATGAAAGCACAATAAATTAAAATTCTAATCGAAACATAAAAATATAAATAAATTCAATTTAAGATCTAAAACCAGATAGGTATTAATAGCATAAATAATCCAAAGATAAACAGAAATCAGAATACCTCATTAAAAAAAAATTTTTTTAATCAACAAAACAACAATAGCCTTAAATAAACTCTAACGCTGTCATAGATACCTCGTTCGAAATGTGATAACCAATCAAAAGTGAAGGAAAATGAAAAATCCGCGAAACCTAGAATCATAACAATGATAGAACAATGTGTGGTTGCGAAAAAATCGTCGCACAAAGACCTTAATAAAATAACCGGCATAAATGTAGACATTAAATGAAGGATATAAAAATTTTCTCTGAATAATAATAAAAGATGAAAATTGTGCATATGAAAATTCAAATAAAGTTGAGTAATCAATGCAAGATAATAAATAATAAAAATTCATAATAAACAGTAATAATATGAAAATCAGCAGATAAATAATATATTAATGAGTATTGCAATAAGAAAAACTAAATACTATAACAAAGCCAGATAAATTTAAAATAAATGAGTGGTTAAAAATTTATTTTGGGCGATGTAACAGTCATATAAGTCGCGATATAAAAACGATATACGAAGCGGGAAAAAATATTGCAAAAAAGTAAAGTTTTCTCTACGGTCCGAATTTTACGCAATGGTCATGAATTATGATCTAGAAATGGTCATAAATTATGGTCTAGACAATGGTCATAAATTATGGTCTAGACATAATAATAAAAATAAAAAAATTAAAATTTTTGTCTTAAAAATCATAACTTTTGAAAAAGATTTTTAAGTGCCACTGTGGTTTGCGCGAAAAGGATTTTCAAAAGTTAAAACTTTAAAGGAATTCAAAAGAACAAAGAACATTATACTTCAAAAGTCTTCAAGGATATTCTTGAAAAAAAAATTCCAAGATGATTTTATTACGTTTATCTTTAATGTAACTTTATTTACCTTACAGTGGGTGTTTAAAAAACATAATAATTGCAAAGTTATTACCGTTATCGCAGTTATACCTAGTAAGCTGACATTACCGCAGTATTACTTAATTATAGTTCCACTGCCGTGATCATACGTTAATCTTTGTTAAAATATTCTATAATCTTGGTTTTTCAGAAGCGTTTTGTTTTATACAAGTTTTTTTAAACAAAATATTTTTTAATGAAGTTTGTTTTAGACAAGAAAATAATTTACTTCAGGCAAAAAGTATCGAATAAGTCTTATTTGTTAATTAAAATATTTAATATATACAAATTAAAACAACACAAATCAAAACAAAACTTAAAAATAATTTTAATAAGGAAGGAAAACAAATTTCAACTTTAAACCACCCATAGAAAATAAAACGAAAGGAAACAACTGTTGTAAAGAAAACGCTGGGTGTAAACAAAACAGAGGAAGAAAGTTTTACTTTTGATTAAGCTTATCAATAAATCGTTGAAAACGTTAAAAAATTTTAAGAAGGCGTTACGCGTTTAACGTCAACGTTAGTAAGAAGACGTAAACACAAGTCGGTAACTTGGTGAAAAGTCAAATCACAAATAAGATAAAAATTGATAATAAGAAGAAATTGCAAAAAGGCGTATACATAACATAACGTTTAAGCAGGTGTATAGAATTTGATAATGCATATAACGAAATATGGGATTTACGAAAAAGTTGATAACGCATAAAACGCAATATCGCGTGTAACGAGATTACAATTATTAACTCATTAATATTAACTCAAACTTGGTGGATATAAGAAATTTTAAAGAAAATTGGAAATAACATTGAAAAGACGTTAGAAAGATACTTTACACAAATCTTATGCTTTCGTTGGAACTTTAATGGTAAGTTTTATTCAATAAAATTGTAATAGAAACAATATTTTGATTAATTAAAAACTGAAAAATACTTCGATTAAGTTAAAACAGAAAAATACTTCGATTAAGTTAAAACAGAAAAATACTTCGATTAAGTTAAAACTGAAAAATACTTCGATTAATTAAAAAATGAAAAATACTTCGATTATCAAAAGTTTCAGCTTTTTAAGTTATTTTTTTATTAGTTATTTTTATTTTTTTATTTTTTGTTACTAGTTTTGATCACAGTTTCTGAGTTTTTATTATTTTTAATTTGTTATTATTATTTGTAAAAATTATTAAATTGTAAAAACTAAACGATGTACAAACTAATTGGTCCAGTATATTATTGGATCAGTTAATCACCAGATCTCACAGTTAATCACCAGCAGGGCTGTCCCGACGAGATTTTAAAGGAGGGTGAAGGGGTTGACGTGTCTGTTTTTTTAAAGCCAAAAAACAAAAAAAAAAGGTCCTCGTTTTCCAACATTTGCCGACTGCCAACTATAAATCCAATTTTGCCGATTTCGATTTGCCGACTAATAGAATTCGTAGGGAGGCTAGACACCCCCTACGCACCCTCCCCTCCTTGGGACAACCCTGATTACTAGATCTAACATTTCTGACAGATTTATTTGAAAGGGTAACAAATAAAAAGAAATTTTTCTTTTTTAAAATTTATATCTATAAAGTTTAGGATTTAAAACAACAAGCAATATCGAGAACTAAAAAACATTGGCGAATAAAACTACCTAACCTAGTAACCATAATATAATAGACATGACGTAACTGATGGAGAATATCATAGACATGACGTAATTGATGGAAAATATGACATTACCTAATTAATGGGGAGATCCTTATTGGTGATAATGGAGATCGTAAGGCTTTTTTTTAAAAAAAAGTATTGAAATCATTTTGATTAAGCGGAAAGAGCTCCCTCTTAACTTTTTGTAAAAATTTCAAATGACATTTCGTATATAAATTATATTTTAAAAATTTTATGTATTATTATGTTTAATAGTAATACATAAAAATTTTTTATGTAAAATTAATAAAATTAATAATATTATAAATATTATATTAACTTATTTATTTTATTTTTAAAGTATTGTATTATACATATTATTTTATTATATATTTGGTATTCCCAACCTTTTTAATTATAACTAAACTTAAATCGCTTCTTAACTTCAAACAAAAAAAAAAAATTTAATTAATAAACCTTAAAAAATAAAGGGTGAAAAGAAAACAACGAGCAATTTTATTAATGTAAAGAACTTGTTTTAAACGGGGCGGAGCTCCAATTAAAAAGTTTCGACTCAATTTATATCCCTTATTTTTACTTTGAAAATAGTTTGTATAAAAGTTAATCGACGGTAATTCTATAATTTAGATTTACACTTTTATCGTTGATATCGAAAGGTTTGCAATGCATTTGATCATGCAATATTATTGCAAGGTTGCAATGCATTTAATGAAGCAATATTTCACAAAAAATAGTCAATACTGTCAGAAAAGATTTTTTTATTTGTTTACCATCTGTTTTTCTTTATTTGAAAAATTTGTTGTTGCACATTTATTGCGCAATTCATATTTTTCAATACAAATTAAAAAAGTGAATAGATCATAGAATTTTCATAAATAAAATTTCTTTTTTGCCCTAAGGCAGATAACAGTTGATCAACAATAACCAATTATGTATGGTAAGATGGCGCACATTGGATTGAGTTTCTTTATCTTTTAAATTGAATAAAAGTTAACAATTAATATATAAACATATTCTTGGAAATTTTAAACAGGTTTTTGTCATTTTTGATAAATAATAATAGTTATATACTAGCTTACACCACGTGAGAGAGTCGGAGTGATTTACGTTTTACTTTTAATTAAAACCCTTGACACCCTTATATTGGTAACATTAAATACATTCTGGTCAGTGAATTCTGCAGTGAATAAAACATTGTCACAATAACTATAAAAATTATGAAACTTATTAATAGTTTAGAATATAAGTTTGCCGAATGGTCACACACCAACAAAACAAAATTGCACAAAATAAAGTGCAATAGAAAAGTAGTATTAGTTATATTTATTTAAAGAAAGATATTATCATTAGCAGGCATAAGAACAATATATAGATTTATAATAGAAAATTAAAGGGGAGAATGGGAAGAGGTGGAACATGAAAAAATATTTTTAGAATAATTTAATATCTTTTTTTATATAATGTATGTACTGTACCAAATAAGTTTTTACAAATAATGGATCATTTCAGGCGCTGATTCTATCCCCTAAGATAGACAGCATGTTATAACAAACTTTTGATTTTAGAAGTTGGAAAGTTATGGGGTGAACAAGTAATTAACAAGATATTAACAAAATTTAAAACTATTTAAATAATAAACTATTCATCATCAAAATATTCAAAAGCTTTAAAAAAGTGAAAGAGTGAAGAAATAGGAGCACAGGAAAACAAACAATTTTCTTGGTCCCATTTCAACCCTTTTTTACTTTTCAAAAAAATGATTTTCACCACACACAGGAAGAAAAAGCGATGTCTGTTAAATAGAGGGAAAGAAATCTCATTATTTACATCAGATAATTTAATTTTTTGGAATTTTTGAGGTTTGTTTAGTAACTATTAGAAAAGCCAATTAATTACAATGGCTTTGCTTAGCTGTTTCCAGCGTCCGTGTTAAACCAAAACAGTTAATCCAACAATCTAAGCTAGCATTAGTAATAAAGACATGTTTTTAGCGAATTAATAAATTGAATATTATACTGAATTGATAAAGTCTACTCTGTCTATTAAACTTTGTTTCCTACAGCAAATTCGTTCAACATTTCCTAAAATTAATTTTTTAAACATCAAAGCCCTAAATAAAACTTAAAAAGTAAAATAAAATTCTTTCAATTATTGATGCTCTTTACATAAAGACCTAATTAAATTAATTAAACTAATTAATCTAATAAAACGTTGATTAATCAATTTTTTACGTTAATTGCAAAAAATCTTGCTTCAATCAACAGGTTTAAATCAATTTAAAGTTTACGAAAATTTATGAAAATATATGTCAAAAGCTCGTTCGAATAAAAGAGATGAAACTGATATAATTTTGTATTCTTCAAGATTAGATTTATCTATAACATCGCCATCTTTTAAAACATTTGAGTTATTGATTGTTTTACATATCTCAGAATGTTTTTTTTTATTGAAACTTGAGTAAAGAAAAAGTTTACATGAAAAAAATAAGTATTAAAAAAAAATTATAAGCCGTTTTATTTTCTTTAATAGATTTTTCTCAAAAAGGTGGAGGTTCTTCAACTATAATGTCTAATACGAACGGATGTATCTGCCCGGATGCTATAGAACTATATTATAATGATACAGCCAATAATTAATAACAGCAAGTGTGAACACGATTTTACTCTTGCTACGAAAGTCATATTAGAAATAGTTTTTATCTTTACTCAAAGAAAATATTTTCAAAATGTTTATAAACATTTTTTCTTTCACAAATAAGATATTAAGGTTCTTTTTAAAATATTTATTATATAATTTTTTTTTCATAGTTTGAATAAGAAATACAACTCTGTAAAATAATTTATATGTTTAAAAGTTTAATCCAGAATCATCATAAAACCATCATTAGATTTCTTTATTTCTTGCTACTAAACTTTTTTTTATTGAAAAATCTCAAGTACTTTTTACTTCATTGTTTATAATAAAACTCAATTTTTTGTTGATTTACAACTATCGTAGTTCACACAACTTTGTTGTATTTTTATTTTTATTTTAGTTTATTTTACATTTCTCATTTAATTCCATGTAAATATTAATTGCATAAAAATTTTACTAAAGGTTTGAGTAAACTTGACTTTTGCTGAAGTTTGCATTTTATTTATTTTGCTGAAGTGCCATTTTATTTATTTATTATATTTCAAAAAATTTTAAAACCTTGAAAAAACCACATGTGCAACGGGGTTTGGTGATAAAACAACTTTTCTTCTTCTTGTTCCTGCTAGGTTTTGTATTACTGTAATTTTTTTTTATTTTTTTAAATACGGAAAATAAGGAAATAATGAAAAATAAGATTGTTTATTTTTAGGGAGTGAAAAATTTAAAGAATATTTATATAAATTTTAGTTATTTAGGCACCTGTATTCAGGATGTATGATAAATAAATTGTAAGAATAATATTCTATTCATATATGCTGTTAGGGATGGTGTATAAATCAGTATTTCTTTGAGGAAATTAAAAACCACGAGTGCTTCCCTTTCTTTACGAAACATGTTGCAACTATTAATAAAATATTTTTTATTAATAGTTTTTAGATGAACTAGTAAATAATTTATGGCAGCATTGTCTATAAAATAAACTGCACAAGATCGGGTTTTTAGACAAATTTCGGTCTGTTTAGGTATTTTTTAATCAATTTAGGTATTTTCATATTGAATTGACTTTTCCATTATTTAGTATATGCTTTTAGGAGGGGTAAAAATAAGGCAATAAATATTGTGCTGCGCATGTTCAAATTTTTGTATAAAAGCTTTCATTTTCTGTCGATCGAATCTTGCTGTGCATTAGAAGTATTCAAAAGAAAAATAAATATTATAATGAATGAACATTTTGTTGGTATAACACAATGAAACAACTTGCATACGGGGGTCTAAATTAACTTTTATAAATAGTTCTGTGCTCTAGTTTTTTATATTGTATTTTTTTTATTTCAAACTTTAAAAAAATTAGGATAATGAACATGTTTTACATTCATATTATTGTGAAAAAAGGTTTATACTCGCGTGTACTCACGTGTACTCGCGCTAAATACTATTTTATAGACTACCAAATAAATTTTATAAAATATTCAGTAATCATCCACGGCCGGATGTATTATCTATTTCAAGTATAAAAACTTCTATTTATGATATCCTGCAAACTTCTCATCTAGATTTCGGATATAAAAACTTTTATTTATGATTTCCTGCATATTTCTAATATAGAGTTCATAAAAAGAATAGTTTATTGCGAACTATTTGGACTGAATCATTTTTTAACGAAAAACTAATACAATCCTTTGAAAATAAAAAGTATTCTACGTCACGTCAATGAAACTTCCATAATTGATTTGTCAAGGTTGAACAATAAGAAATAAACTACAAGCATTTATAACAAAATAGTTTAAAAAGTTGAATTATTTGATAGTTTTAGCCGGCTAACTTTATGAATAACTTTATGAGATTAATATAAAAATCACTCTGCGCAAACAGATCAGCTTTCAAAAAAAGCTATAGTGATACAGCCAAATGCCAGAGAATAAATAGTTGGTCACGGTTGGATTCGGCACGGTTGATTAAAATAAATACCGCGAATAAAACTGACGTCATCAAGTCAATAAAGTTGCTTTGATATGGCACAAAAAAAATTTTAAAGAAAAAAAACTCTTAAAACTATTCTTTATTGAGTATAGTTTGATCTATCATGAATCATTTTTAAGGGTTCTGTTTTTTAAAGTTCGTCTGAAATTTATGTATTTTAATATCGAGCTATTGTTTTAAATTTGTCATACGGTCGTATAAAAACCTTGTATTTTAAATTTAATGAACATGAAAGTTTTTATTCTTTATTTAAATTAAAATTAATATGTTTTTAGAAGCCGTGACGTAGGTAAGATGGCTTTGGAAACAAAAAATCTCTGTTTAATGACCACTCTGGGTGGTTTGATGATCGCGGAGAGATTTCTCATTAAATACTGTTGCGAATGTTTGCGACCATTCTTTTTTTTTCTGAGTATTTTAAAACCACACATATGCACAAAAAAAGCTTCATTACATTTATAATGCATAAAGCTAAATACAGGACTTAACGTGCTTTAAAATTCTTATTTAACAAATACGCCAATGCAAGCGCCAAAATCTTTGCATAGGCGATGTCCGGAACATCGCCACCGCAAAGAAGAGCGCCCTACGTTATATTGAAGTTGTTGTTATTGATTAAACTGAACTCATAGGGAATGTTAAGTATATTTAAATAGAATATAACGTGAGAAACAAATAAATTAATCTCGACCATCTTTTAAAAAGTTAAAATTAAATAAACAATCTAAAAAGATTCTTCAAATTGTTACCCACAAAAAACTTTTAAATATAGGTTTTACAATAAAATTTCAAATTGTTTATTTACGTTTGACAGTGTTTTACCAAGTTGGCTTTTTTAATTCTAGCCATGTTTTTATACAAAAAAGCGGTGCTTTTTATTTCTTACTTAAAAACTCTGTGTTGATGTTTACAACAACTTCAATTATATTTACTTTACAATTAAACAATGTAAATTGGCTTAGTTCAGTGTGTGGGAGATGGTGGATTAATTTACCTTTGTTACTTTGACATATTGACGGGAGGTAAACTTTGATTTAATTGCTTTGAGGCATTTTGAAACAGAGGCGAATCTTATCGCACAAGTCTATGCAAGTGTAAATACTTAAAGTTTATTCTCATGAGAGAGAAAACTTTACGATGTTATAAAGAAATTCTAAGTGTTATTTTTAAAGAAGACTGGTGTAAGTTTTTTTTATGTCCAGTTTATGGTGTTCCAATTTTTAATCATTTTAGCAAAGTAACACATGAATTACTACTTTCTTTTTTCGCTTACAGCAAAGTATTCAAGAAAACTAAACAACCTATTGTTAAAAACTCATGATTTTTATCATTGTTAAAAACTCAGGATAACATTTTTATCAAACTATATATTAGCTTAATAAAAAATGTTGAGAAAACATTTTAACAATAAGCTGAAATTACGTGCAAACTCATCAAGTTTTAAATACTTTAAAATAAAAAAACAAACAAACAGTGGAAGCTATATCAATATCTAATTTATTTTTATGTAACGGGATTTCGCACTTTTCATAATATGTCATTAAGATTCGTGAAATCTTAATGAAATCAAGATTATATGGGATTGAAACATAATGAGATCGAGACTTAATGAGATTGAATTCATTGAAAAATATCAGCAACATTTTTAGTACAAATAATTTTTTTCAGATTTTTATCCGTTTTTGGTTTTTTAATGCTACAAAAAATACCAAAACACATGACATATGGATATTATAAAAAGAGATGTAAATAACACATTTTAACTTTATAATAGCTGGTCTCAGTTATATCATAATAGTTGTTCTCTGTTATTTTTCGGACTCTGTTTTATGGTTAATATAAAGTTGACAAATTTTTCATTGTTCTTTTGTTTCAGATCAAACAGTTTTTCAATTTATTTTTATAGAGGATTTGCTAGTTTTCTTTATACGCTACTTTTATCCATACAAAAAAAAGTTGAAAAACATTTTTAGACATAATAAAAAGTTAAAGAGTCAATCTTTATACATTTGTATCGTAGTAACATTGTTGTAATATGTAAGTTGCATCGTTGTGTATGTTATTTTTTAATTGAATCAATAACTTATACTTAAGTATGCTTCAGTTTATAAATAAATTTTATTCAATGTATAAATAAATTGAATTGAATTAATTAAAAAAATTTAATTTAATTTATAAATATGTTTTATTTAGTTATTAAATAACTTAAATATAATTTGTAAGTTTTATTTAATTAATATATAATTTTAATTAAATTTATAAATATGTTTCATTTAATAATTAATTAATTTTAATTTAGTTTATGAATAAATTGTATTTAATTATCAAATTTATTGTTTTAATATATATATATATATATATATATATATATATATATATATATATATATATATATATATATATATATATATATATATATATATATAATTTAACTTACATATATAAGATAGTTCTATATATATCTTTGTTATTTTAATTTGTTAAGTTATATATATCTTAGTTATTTTATTCTAGTATCATTATTATTTTTACCTTTGGAACAAAATTATCTTTTTTATCATTGTCCAAAAAGAATCAATTAAGATTTTAAATTTTATGTTTTCTAAATTATTAAAAATATAAAAATCTTCCATTAGAATTTTTTGAAATCTGCTTGTTGAACTAAGCCGATCTATTCACGTTTTTTTTTAAATATTTTTAACTCTATTAAGTTTTTTTTTAATAACGAGTAGTTGTAAATTTCCTTGTTAAATTCAAAGTATATGCATAATAAATATGTATTAAGTTCTAATTTCATTTTAAGTCGGTAAAAGTTTATCAAGTGCCCTACGGGATTTATCATTTCCGACATTTAAATATAAATTTTCTTTAGTTTATGTTTTAAAACTATTTTTTGTTTTAAATGTTTGTTGTTGTGTTTTTTTTTTTAAAGAAAACCTTGATATAAGGTTCATAAAGAACACCCATGCCAAGTTTTATAAAACATAAGAAGGAGGTCTTATCACATGTAAACAGCATGCGCTTGAAGCAGCTGATAGATAAGTTTTTTTATATTTTTTGTTTAAAGGGTAGGGGGGTAGGGAGGTTTATTTCAAAATGTTAAAAAGAATCTGGCGAATAAGTGGGTAAATAAATACGTTACAAAGTGGCCTTTAGAAGAATATTTATTATAAAATTTTGTTAAGAGTGTTTAATTTTGGAAGTAAGTTTGTTAAAAACATTTTTTACGTTTAACAATCGTAATTCATTATTATATATATTATCATCGTATTGTATTATCATTGTATTTATAAGTTGTCATCGACAATTTTTGCTATAGCAGAAAGTCGCCAGGTTTTTTGCTATAGCAGAACCATTTAGTCGCCAGGTTTCTTCAGGTTTTATTTAAAAAAATAAATACAATTTTTACTTTTACATAAAACGATTATTTCGATTGTGATTTTTTTAATATAATTTTTCGTTTTCTATCGTGCATTTCTTTCTTTTTTAAAGATATGTTGTCTTGTGGTGCCTAGTTAAGGTGCCCAGCCCAACGTGGTGCCCAACATTTTTTCAAAAATACAAAAAGAAAAGAAAATTGATCACAAGAAAAAGTTTTTCTAAAATAATAATTTGAATATATATTATTAAAACAAAAATGAATAAAAATTCATAAAAGAATTTCTATTAATTTAATCACAGAATAACAAAGAAGATGCATAAAAAATTCATAAAATCGTTTTTGCATCGACATAAACATAAATTCCTTTTTATGATAAAACGAAACGTTAAAATTTTTTTTTTTTTTTTAGGATTTAATTAAGAATGAACGAAACAATGCATTCACTATCAGAAGGCGAAAAGTACTTTAATTCAGTATTTTTAACATTTGCTGCATTTGTAGCTATTCTCGGAAATACTGTAGCTCTGCATGCATTTTTTGTATCGCCCCAACTTAAGAAAATGACTTATTACTTTATAGCAAGTCTCTGCTTTTCAGATCTGATGGTGGCTATTATTAGCATTCCTATATGGGTTGTAGATACTCAGTCAGGTTGGAAGTATACTATAAAATATGGAAATTTAAAACTTTTCCACAGTTTTTTGGACATCTTTTGTAGCACGTGGTCTATAATGAGTTTAGCAATGATTAGCATAGAAAGATTTGTTTGCATTAACTATTGCTTACGATACCATAGTATCATGACCCCAAGAAGAGGAATATTTATGATTTTATTGACTTTGGTCTACAGTCTTGTTGCTGCTGGTATAAACTACCTTAGTTTAGATTTATTTGATAACAAAAAATGGTTTGTAATCTTGCAGTGGGTAATTATCTTTATGTCGTATTTATTACCAGTATTTATAAAATTATTTACTTACACCAAGATTTACATCGAAGCGAAAAGACAAAGTTCTCTAATTAAAGAGCAATACAGTACTATCAGCAGTAATAAAACAAAAAGCAATGAAGAGCTTGAGAGTATTGATATTGATAACATGCACTTCAATAAAAACAAAAGAGCGTCATTTGGTAGTCGAGCTTCATGGAGTGTTTTATCAACAGCAGGTCTTAAATTTTTAAGAAAAAAAGAAAAAGCTTATAACGCCTCTATTAAACGAGAAAGAAACTATAATGCTTTGCTTAGCCACGAAAATTCATCAGATGAAGCTGATTTTGATGATTTTTGTTCAATTAAAAAACTTTTTAAAAAACGAAGTAAACCAATAAATAAATACGATGTTAATCAAAACGGCGTTCACCAATATGAACTTGAAAGTTCAATATCTAACTCTTCTGGTTTAAACACTTTGAACAGTAATAACTCGAACAACTTAAGAGAAAAAATGATGCTTAGTATTCCAGAGGAAATGCTCGATACTATTACCTATCCTGATTTGATTAACACACCTGAACCCACTACTCCCGAGTTAACCAATCAGCACGAGGAAACACTTGAAAATCGTATTTATTGCGAAATTAGTACAAGAGATCGTGCTGCATCTTTTCCTATCAAATTCATAAAAAGATCCGGACAATGTTTAGAACCCGACGATAATACTTCATATATTTCAAAGACAAATTCAACAATTCTTTTTAATAAAATGAGATATTCCATGAGATCAAGTCCAGCCAACAGTCCACTAATGTCCAGTCCTATAATGCGCCAAGAAAATTCTACTAAAATTAAACGAGAAAAAAAAATCAGAGAGTTCAAAAGAGAAATGCGTGCAACAAAGGTTATTGGTTTGATAATGGGTACATTCCTTTTTTGTTGGACACCATTTATGGCTGTTATAATTCTTTCAACAATAGCACCCAGAAGTTCATATTTAGCGTCTTATATTATGTTTACTAAGGATTTACATTATCTAAACTGCGCGATAAATCCTATACTTTACGTAGTTCTTAATCGTGTTTACAGAAGCGCAGTTCTCAAAACATTTAAGCAAATTAAGTTAAAACTCTTTTGTTTGAGTAAAACTTTTTGATTGTGTTAATTAATTTCGCTGAAAATTATATTAATTTATCAAGCTGAAAACTATGTTAGTATATATTACATAACATTCAAGTTTAATTTGTTTTTTAATAAAAAAAAGCAAATTTGATCTTTTTTAAAGAAAGGACTAATATTATAAATTTAAAAATGTTTTGTATATTTTATATATTTATTTTGAAACATTGTAATTTTTATGCACAACTAAACTAAAGCAACTGACCCTTATAAAACATGTTACAACATCTGAGTAGTTTCCATGTTCTGTGGATGTAAATTCCTACACTACCAATGCCTACATATATGTAAATACCTACACTACCAATACCTACATATGTGGTGTAGGTATTGGTGATGGTGTTAGTTAGATAAAATTAAAAAAAAAAAATTAGTATTTTTTGTCAACTTTTGTCACTACTATGAATTTGAGATTGGTGATAATCAAGGAAAAACTAATAATAGCGATGACTTACATTTTATATGACTTTGATTAGATATTGGATGTACTTATATTGCAGGTTAAACAAAAAAAAATCCTTGTATTACTATTTGGTTAGGCAAAGTAAAAACTTGGAGAATATTGAAGAGACAGCAGCAATGCTTTTTTAGTGTAATGACAATATAGTATTAACAATATAAAGTTATAACTTATTATTACTGTTTAGTGTCTCAAACTACATTTCCCAACTGTCAAACTTTTTTCAGCATTTCAAGAAAAGAATTAATAATATTTTTAAAACATTTGTTATTAAGGAACTAGTTTCCGTCGAATGGTCAACTTTACTCAAGTTTATTCCTATGAAAGTTTGAATAGTAGGTATTTTTACAAACTTTTATTATGAAATAGTCTATTTTTGATAATAAATATTTCGACATAAATTTTATGTCATGCCAATTTAGATTCGTTATCTTTAATGTTTGACTTCAGTCTCTGCAAAATAAAAGTAAATTCTATTAAAAGTTTCTCTTTTTTTTTTCTGATTTTTGTCAGAATTTATTTTATAAAAGTTTATCGATTTATAAAATCTTTCCTGGTTTTCGGTTGGTTTTCATATTTTTGGAACGGTTTAGCTATTATATTTTTCTGCCATAGAGCAGAGTTAACTTTTTTTTGTGTGCTATTGACTATAATTCTGTAGAGCAGGGTTAACTTTCATTTTTTTGAGTTTTTGACTATAATTATGTAGAGCATGGTGAACGTTTTATTGCTTTTGCGTTATTATCTTCTGTAGGATCTTTTTAACTTTTTTTTTAATCAATGTGAAAAGAGACAATTACTATTTCTGCTTCCAGATTTAAAAATGGTCTTTAGCAATTTGGTTCCTTATCTTCCAACAAAAATGTCAAATTTACGAACTATTCTTTTGTTTGCCATGAAAAAAATAAATTCTTATTTTAATTATGACCTATCAAGTGTTTTTGATTAGACGTTTTATTTTTACCCAAAATTACATTAAAAATTTTTCAATATTCGATAATTAACATCCGAATTTACCATTTTGGTGTTGTTTGGTGTTGTAGACTAAACTCTCCTTCAGCTAACTTCTATACGAAGGCTACGTATCAAGCACCATAACCCACCGCTACAAACAAAGATAAGTGAGTTTGTAAAGAATAAAAAACTATTACATAAAATTCGGATGTAACCAAGTTAAAAAAATGCATGTAGAAATGCGGACAGATTAGTAAAATTAGGATGCATTTACGAAGCTTAGTAACTAAGAAAATGTTCTTATCCTTTTGAACCAAAACGTTTTCAGTACCAGTTCTCAGTAAACAGAAGAACTTTCAATATTCAGGAGCAAAAGTATAAGATACTAAAGATTGGACTCAAAATAATTCTTAATGAATCTCCTCGTGATTCGAGGACCAAAACGAGGCAAAAGCTATTAAAGAGCGAAGTGAAGATTTTGATGATACCAGGTTGCTGCTGATAAACCTGAAATAATGATTTTTTTTATTATCAGAATAATGATAAAAACCTGACCTTAATTTGGAGATTTTTTATTATCAGAATAATAATAAAATTCGGGTGTAACCGAGTTAAGAGATTATATCATTTGATATTTCTTCAATTTTTTTATTTTTTTTATAAAAAGTTGTGATTTATAAAAGTTCTGCAATATACGAAAATTGTTTAACTAAATAAATGTTTAAAAATTGTTTTAAAAAAAATTTAAGTAGGACTGCACGGTTTTTTATAAAAAAGTTTAAGTGAATTTATACGGCCAAAATAAGTTTAAATAAATTTTTACGGCAAACAAAAAAAAATCGTTTTTTATTTTGCTGATTTTTGAAAAGTTATTATTCTTTTAAAGGAATGAGCTGCTTTTCCTTTTTTTTTAATTGAAACATTTATACATATATAATTTATATTTTTTTTAAATAAATAATAACTATCGTAACCATGGAAACCATATTTTCGGATTTGATAAGTAAAACTGCAGTGATAACTTTAAAAAGTTGTTTTATTCAGTACAAATATAAAATAAATACATAAATTAGGCAGCCATGGTGTAGTGGTTAAAGTTATGGCTTCAGAACCGAAGTCCATGGTTTGAAGCCGGCTCTGGCTTTATATGCAATATTGGTAAGGAAGTAGTAAATAACCGGGGTGGAACTTTGACCGGGGCCGGGTTTGATAAGATATAGCCGAGGCCGAATTTGTGACCGGGGTAGGATTAATATTTATGCATCTTAAAATATATATTTTTAAATCAAAATTCATGTTATATTTTGTATATGATGCATATATAAACATCATTATGATCAACATTATTCTTAGTTTACTAAATTTTGAATTTTATCTCAAATGTTAGGTTTTAGAGACTTTTTCAAATTCTTCAACAGTGTCATTAACTAAAGTAAGTCTAATACTTAATCTCTAATTCATGGGTCTGATTTTTGTACTTCTCCGTCGAATATGGCAGAGGTATTTAGTAATAATTTTTTTTCTGATTTGACTCTTGAATCTTATTGTCATATTCTTCCTGTCATACCAATTAAACAGATTAACTCATTGTTAAACATCTAAATCACTCTGACTTCCGATGTTAATGTTACTTTTCAATTAAATACGTCTACAGTTGTGATTGAGACAAGACTTCCTTCATAATCTTAAAAAGGTGTTCTCCAGAACTCTCTTCGATTTTTGCTAAACTATTAAAAAGTGCTAAATAAGTGGTTCCAATTATTCATAACACTAAAAATCATTTTAACCTCCAACTATCCTACAATTAGTATTCGATCGATTATTGGTTTGTTTATATAAAGATTTTGAGATTATTAAATCATTTTTGCAGTATAAAAGTAATTATTAAAGGCCTACACTCTTCTTTATTACAAGTAACTGTAAGGGTACCTTTAAAGGTTCTTTCTTTATTCTCTTTGCTTCTGTATTGTTTCATATCTGCAATAAAACTTTTGATGAAAATTTTACATCTAAAGTGGCTCTATTTGCTGACGACTCATAATTGTACTCTTGTCTTGACTTGTTTAATAATAATATAAAATAGTACTCTTGTCTTGGGTTGTTATTTTTTAATATTGGAATGCCAACAATCTTGCAATATTTTGTTTGCAGTAAATAAAAAAGTTTTTTTTGTCTAACAAAAGTTGTGGAATTAAATCCACACTCATAATCCACAAGCCAGTTTTAGGCTGGTACAAAAAACAGAACAAAATAAAAATCAGTTGCTTGTTCTGGACAATTTGTTCAGAACAAGCAACTGTTTCTAAACAATCAAAAAGTGAACTTTTTAATTGTTTAGAACAAGCAACTGATTTTTATTTTGTTCTGTTTTTTGTGGATTGTAAGTCTGGATTTAAAATCCACAACTTTTGTCAGACAAAAAAACTTGTTTATTTACTGCAAAAAAAAAGTTGCGATATTGTTGGCATTCCAATATTAAAAAATAACAACCCTCTCATTCTCAGACAAAGTTTAAAAGCAGATTGAAAATGTAGTTAGACCTTTTTATCAGCCAAGCTTGAGCCACTCTCCCATTATCGCAAGGTTGCATTTCTTTCTTTTTCCTACAAATCATGGTCAATGATCTAAAGAGTTTTGTTTTATTTCATCACTATTACAATAAAACAAAACTCATTTTTACTTGGCTTCTTATTCAACAAGTTACATTCTTTTACTGTGTCTGTCCCTTCATGCTGTAAAAACTTTTACTAATCCAGTTTTTTTCCTTGCACATCAAAAAACTTTCAACTCTTACTCATCTTTATGTTTTCCTTTTTTTTACAACCTACAACATTTAAAGCTTTCAGTTAATCATTTCCTAGCTTTTTAAATTTATCCTTTATTTCAAAGTAACCTTATTGGAAGTAAACTAGAGTTTAAAAATATATAAATATATGCCATTATTTAATTAATAGTTAATGTAAGCATAAAATTATAATATATAAGTATTATAAATTTTTTTCTAGCCCTGGCTATTAACCCCTGCTAAATATTATAACCGGGGCCAAGTTTGTAAAAAGTCTCGTTTTAAGCCGGCATTTTTGACCCCCGGCTCCAGTCACTTATTTTAAGGAAGAGAGCGTGAACTTTCTGGATAAATATTCCGCGTTACTCTGATATAAGACCGTAAGAAATTCTTGGAGCACCTAAATAACTAAAAAAAGAAATTAAAAATCTAGTTCTAATCGGACTTTAAATATATAATTCTCAAACATTTATAACTTTTAATTAGTTTAAAGAAAAATTTTTTTGGTAGAATAAAACCATACCATTTTATATATTACTCTGTTTTTTTAATTTTACGGACCGTAATTTACTTAAAATGATATTAGAATTTGACAGAGGCTAAGCGTTAGTCTTTTTTAGAATGATTCAAAAAGAGGTTTAGAATTTCAAAAAAAAAAAAACACCTAAAAAATCATTAATCGTTGTTGTAAAGTTTTATGGAAATTGATTTTATGGAAATTGATTTTATGGAAATTGGCAATTAATTGATGTAAGGTTTCCTTACTATAGAATTTGGTGGTTTTTAGTAGTCCGCAATACGCTTACAGATGGGCATAATTAATTATAGGGTGAAAAGGCCAGTACAAGAAACTAAGGTGGTAACCATATAAGAATGATGATCTTGAAAATTTTAAAAATATTTTTTAAAGTGTTTGCAAAGATTCTTGGATGGAATCGAGTTAATTTAGAAAATATATTTATAACTTTTCGTAGAGTTCTAATAAAAAAAATTTATTCAATTTTGTGACGCTCCAACTCAATTTATCTTTATCTGTTTGAAATTTCAAAGTAAATAATAAGTCAGCATTTTGTGTAATTTTCTTTTTCTTTTTTTTTTTTGTATTTTTATTTGCCTTCAATAAAAAAAATACAACTACAGAATAACTTTATTACAAATATAATCGGCAGGACTTTCAGAAGATCATACCATTTTATCATGAAGCCCTTTACAATCAAATATAATAATAACAATAAAATTAACCAATAAAAATTAATCAACATAAACTATATACAACTGTGGATTTAAAACATAAATACACTGGATAAAATATATGAAACAAAAGGAACTAAAAACAACAAAAAATATTTTCTGCTAAAAAGATAACTTCTTTTAATTTTCGTTTGAAAGAAATTAAA